TTGAATTAATATCAGACATTACAAATTATGTGTATGAAATGGGAGAGAAAGAAAATAACAAAAAAAAGTACATAATTTGAGGGTATTACAGTCATTTCACGTCATAGTTAACAGTGTCAACGGTTGCACTTCGATCCAAAATCACATGAGGGCTTTCTGGCTATATTTGAACCATATAGGGATAACGTGCACTGGTCTCAAACCACAAGGGGTAAAATGAATTTTATCCTTTTATATATTGTGGGCCAGATTGACATAATTTAAACATCGAGGATCAAATTAAAACACTTTTATATATTGAGAATCAAAATTGACACAACTTAAATGTTGTGGGACCAAAACGACAAAAGACTCATACTTTGAGGAACGAAAAAATACAATTAATCCATTGTTATAATTTTTATAAGGGTAAATTATACTAATAATTCTTACATTTTGCCATTGTGTCATTTTGACCCCTACACTCTCAATTGGCTCAATTGTGATATTTAATTTTGGATTTTGCATTAATATAATCCAATAGATAAAACCGTTACGCTTTTTTACAGAAAATTATCACTTAGTTGAGTTAGTTGAGGTTAAATCACTGAATTGATCAAGTGTATAATTTTGTGCATGAAACATGCTACTCATGTACGCATTTGTCATAAAAATAAATTCTAACAATTGAAATCAATTAGATCAATTTGAAACAACATCAAAAATTTAGAATTAAAATTGAACAAATTAAAATTATAACGACTAAAATGACGCATGATTCAAAATATAAAAAATACAAAGGTAAATTTCCCTTGTTATAATATTTATTCTAATAGAACTTCCTCTAATATTTTTAACAAGATTCACTGCAACTCCATGGGTGCTGAGTTCCTTGAAGCAGAATCCGAAGCCAAAATTGATGACTTTGGGGACTTCTGTCCGAGTTCAAAGACTAGAGCACTCATACCATCAGTGGACTATGACAGACCAATTCATGAACTACCATTGCTTTTGGTTCAAGTCACCAAATTTAGTTGTGGTGGATTTAGTCTTGGCTTGGGTATATCACATGCCCTTGTTGACGGTGAATGTGCAGCTCACTTCATCTCCGAGTGGGCTAGAATCGCTCGTGGTGAAAAACCAGAGAACTTCCCATTTCTTGATCGAACAATCTTACAACTTGAGGATCCTTTGCCAAAAACAAGCTTTGATCACTCAGAATTCAAACCACCACCGCTCTTAATAGGCCACTCGAACAACACAGAGGAGCGAAACAAGAAGACTGTCGTGGCTATGCTAAAGCTAAGCAAAGAACAAATCAACAAGTTGAAGAACAAGGCTAATGAGTATCGAAATAGCGAGACTAGTACTAACCGCGCCTTTACAAGGTATGAGAGTGTTACTGCTCATATGTGGAGGTGTGCATGCAAGGCACGTCAACATGAAAGCGAGCAATTGACCAACATTCGTATCGCTGTGGATTTTCGTAGCCGTTTGCAATCATCATTGCCTAAGTGGTATTTCGGTTGCACTGTCTTGCCAGTAGTAACAACCCCTACCTCAGGGGACATTGTGTCGAAACCATTAGGTTATACCGCGGAAAAGTTAAGAGAAGGTATAGAGAAGGTGACAGATGAATACATAAGGTCATGTTTTGTTTTTTTGAAAAATGAACCAGATTTATCCAAGTTTCGATTCTTTCATACTGTTGGAAGTAGTCAAGGAGCTTTCTATGGGAATCCAAATATGTCCATTACTAATTGGACTAGGCTACCCTTATATGGGATGGATTTTGGGTGGGGAAAGGAAATTTGCATGATACCCGGAGCAATCGGATATGATGGGAAGGCATTCATCCTTCCCGGTCGTAATGAAGACGGTTCTTTTCTTATCCCATTGCGTTTGCAGGTAACACATATGGATAACTTCAAGAAGTTCTTTTATGAAGATATCTAATGTCATGTTAATGATTACAGAAAGTCTATGACTCACAATTATGTGGTCTGTGTGTGTGGGCTGCTGTAGTGGCTGCTGCTGCTTTTTATGTGTAATGTATGTTGTTGCTATTTCTTTGCTGCTGTTGCTAATGTATGTTGTTGCTGCTACTGTTCCTCTGCTTTGTTTCAGTTAGTGTTGGCTCCTCACCAACATTGTGATTTATTCCTCTATTTTTTTTCTTTCTTCTTTCCTCTCTATTAATGTAATTTCATATGTAATGTATGTTTGTTTTCTTCATCAATAAAGATTCTATTTTGCTAATAAAAAAAAAATTAACTCTCCATAGTATTTGATGGAAAGGTTGTTACAAGGTTAGATGAGTGTTATTTTAAGTTGTTTGAACTTGAAATTTTTATTTTCTTTGATTGAAATCTGTAGATGGGTTTGATTATGTGTTGATTGATGGGGGCATGAACTCTCTATTTTATTTTTATTGTTATTTTTTTTGATCGACGAAATTTAGTGATTAGTTGTTAGATTAACATTTTGAGGGAGTTAAAACTCACACCCATACAACTTGCTAGAAAATCTTGCCCTCTCATTTCACTCATAAAAGTGGAATTCAAGACATTCCCTTTATTAGGAGAGACTTGGTGGCTAAAGGACTCACTAATTAGGCTTGAGCTCGAGTCAAACCTGAACCAATTCGGTTCAAGCTCGGTGAGTTAAATTTTTATTGAGTTCGAGCTTAAGTTCAAACTCGTTAAAATCTTTATAAACAAGTCCAAACATATTAAAACTCGGCTCAGCTCAGCTCGTTTGTAACCCTAGATGGGGCTTACAAATTTGTATTGGGTGATTGGAGAATATAAGAAAATATGATAAATTGTGATTGATGAGGAACATAGTCACGCGGCGCTCCTAAACTAACCAATAATTTTTCGTCAGCTAGTGATGGGTCAAGATGATATGGTACAATATACATTCTTGTTATGTATTTTTATATGGGTGCAAATTCTCCCAAGTGTGGATTGAACAGTGTTACTAGGCCCGTAAGATACATAATGGGTTTTATTTTGATAATTCGAACTGTTGAATATGTAGAGTTCATCGATTATTTCATCTCTGCAAAAAGTTATATTGATCGGATATCAATAAGTACTTGATCAGAACACATTTTTGTCAACAATTTAAAAACAAAAATCATATTTACCGTTGACAGAAATGTGAACTGATGAAGTGGCTATCGATATCTGATTAATGTGATTTTTTATAGGAATGAAATATATGATGAATTCTACACTTTAACAGTTCGGATCATTGACTTGAACTCCGTAGGAAGTTCAGAAAACCCCAACAACACAATTCAATTCGATTAGAAACAGAGACAAGCTAGGCCATTACAAAAATACATATATAAATGGTGGTCTGTCTATGTGATCTTGTATTTTTAATTCAAATACTTATCATTATTATTTAAAATTGAAAAAACATTCTATAACACTGTTCTATATAAATATTATAAATAAAATTTTATTTGTAAATTAAATATTTATTTCAATAATATCGAATAACCTCATCCTTTTATGGTTGCAATCAGATTAGCTAGAAATTCAGGTAACACAATTACAATTACGATACTTATTATTCTTTTTTTAAAAAAAGTTTTTCAGAATCTATAAATTAGAATTATAATTATAATTTTTTTATTTTAATATTTAATTAGGAAATATTTTTAATTTCTTGATTATTTAGATTTTCTATTTCATTTATTTTCTTACAAGATTTAGGATTGCTTGCTTTACGAGCATTATTATTTCTTAATTTTTTTTTATACTTTTTGTTGTCTTAGGAATTATCTTTAGTATAAATAAGGATGTAAGTTTTAGGACAATACAATTTACATTTGATTGATAAAAATTGAGAATTTTTTCAATATTATTTATTTTTGGAGAGAATTTCTAGTTCAAATTTGTTAATAGTTCAATTTTATTATTTATTTTTCTTTTTGATGCGCTTACCTATATCACCAAGCCCACTTGTTCAAACAATTGGGCCTACTGTGTTCACTTGTCACACATTTGTCTTTTCTTTTGTGATGCTTTCCCTTTTTTGCCATTTACAAAATTCTTGATCATGCACTTAAAAAAAACGTGTCTATAAATACATAAGCTGATCACAAAATTAAATACAAAATGCATAAATATGATTTTTTAAAGTGAATCCCATAATAAATTTTGAAAAATCTTGTCCATTTATGTGTATTTGTGATAAGTTTCTTTAGTAGATTTTTTGTTTATTTGTAGCAAAGCAATATAGGAAGGACTCATTTTCATACTAGTATAATTTCAAAAAATTCTAATATGCATACTCTTAAAAAAGGTATACTATATGCATCAATAATTATATCATTTTATTATTTAGTTATGACCAATTTGTTTATTTAGTTATGATATTATTTTAGTTGTGTCTCGTGACTTCTTTAATTATGTTTCACGTTGTGTTTAGTTATGATATTTTTTTTATTTTTATTTTATTTTTAGTTATGATTCAGAAAGTATAAAATTATATAATTTTATTTTTTAGTTATAAAATGCATATAGTATACACCATGTAAAGAGGGTGTATCATAGTGTTTTCCTTATATTTCACATTCATCCAAACTTCATTTTGTGGACCCTGCTTTGGGCCCACAACAATGATCTAAATAGCTTATTTCATAAATTTCGCAGTGAAGACTGCTGGATAAAAAATCAACTTCATCGGATATCAATGAAAAATGAACAAATCGTATTTTATTTTATATAATAGATGGTTTAAATTTAAATTTATAGTTGTCCATTAAAAAAAATAAAATATATTTGTTCATGTGTCTAGTGATGTTTGATGAAATTGATTTTTTAAACAATTTATCTTTATTATTGAGCCTACACCATAAAAGGTTCGGATCATCGTTTTGGATCCAAGATTCCCTCTTTAGGAATTTTTTATTTTAAAATGAAAGATCTAAATTAACCCACGTCATTATATATCATTACTTGAAAATATCATCTCTTGATTGGTTCTATTTAAAGGATTAGACTTCACATGAATGTCAGACAAGCATTGAATAACCGAAAATCTCTCCTCCTTTCTTTCTTTTCTCCCACAATGGTGACCTTAAAGGCCTCTTACATGGTGAAACCAGCCAAGGAAACACCAACTAGGCTCATGTATTTATCAGAATTTGATCAATTTGATACCATAACTCATTCACCTACTGTTTACTTCTATCAACAATCTGGTGAGTTGATTCTAAATGCAATAATACATACTCTAAAAGACTCGTTAAGCAAAGCATTGATCATGTTCTACCCTCTCGCTGGACGCCTCCAATGGATTGCTAGGGGTCGCCTTCAAGTAAACAACTTTTCTAATTTTTTTTATTAATATTTTATTTTTTTGTTTTTGGTTAATTGTTATAGGATTATTTACATTTTTTGTATTCACCCCAAAAAAAAAAAAACATGAGTAATAATATGTCATTTTAGTCACTAATGTTTAAAAATGAATAAAAAGTGTTTCAAGTTGGTCTCCCATTCTAACTTAATAGATGCATTGGGAAATCAAATTGAAATACTTTTTAATGGTATAGATTTGGAAACCCTCAGCCAAAGCAGCATTTTATAGACATCAGACAAGGAGTTGCAGTCAATAAAATACCGTTTCTATTCTTTGGCACAACTCGATGAATTTAGTAGATCCTTTTAGGAGGCCCCCTATTAGTAAGCTTAGATCGAACCTATCCAATTTTTACAGTGCGATGGTTGGCTGTTCACGGACTAGCTGTACCTACTCTTTTTGGGGGTCAATATCAGCAATGCAGTTCATCCAATGATAAACCTAATCCGAATTATAGAGCTACAACACAATCAAACCCGAACGAAGAAAATGTTGAATTGAATCGTACCAGTCTCTACTGGGGGTTCTTAGCCTATATATGACGAGCTGAACTAGCTGTTTTCTTTTCAAATTTTTTCTTAAATTAAGAGAAAGAAAGAGAATAGTAATAGTAGGAATTCTCTTATCCCATTCGGAAGGAGCTCATCTCAAAATTCTCCATGACTGTTTATGTCTCTAGCATGACCACTTGATGAAATGTGGAGGGAAGTGGGGTAAATGGCCGATACTACTCTACTGGAAGGATTCCTCTTTGGCTGATAGGTACTGTAACTGGTATTCCTGTGATCGGTTCAATAGGTCTTTTCTTTTACGGTTCATATTCCGGATTGGGTTCATCCCTGTAGTAATCGAATGAACTGGGTTGTGCCTGTTCCGATTCAAAATGACAAAAGAACCGGGCAGCAGTAGGAGCCCTAAAGAGGAAGGGGGCAGGAGCACTCGACCCTTGAGAAATGAACAGATTATGTTCTCTTATTCTTGTCAAAAGCCGAGGAAGAAGTTTCGAATAGGGGCCGAAGGCGTGAGTACAGTAGACGCTTGAAAGACTATATGGAACTCAAATCTTTCATCCCAGTCTCGAAATAGGCTGTGTCGAGACTGCAATTATGACTTTCGGGTTCTTTCCCCAGCCAGTCGCCCCTGTGTGGGAGGGGTCAAGCTTGGAGACTTCTCATTTGTGGGGAATCAAACTATCACGCAACTTGCATTCTGGTTCTACATATCGAATTGGAGAGTTCCGGTTTTCTAAGGATTCCCTATTGCTGGCATAGCAGGGACTACAGAAACCATAGTTGCACAGAAATTGCCTGCCGGACAGAGGACTGTTGGTCCAATTAATTACACAATTCTTTATTAACGATATGGCTATAAAAATTTCTCCTATCTTTTTTCAGCCCTCTCTACGCCTTCAACAATGAGATTTCAAAAGACGATTCTTTCTCCACTGCTTCCTGACGAATGATTGATAGGAACGGATTGCCTGGGCTTCCCTGCATCCGATCAACTCATACCTCCCAGCCCTCTCCCCAGGATCTCATTCAATAGATCCAACCCATTTATAGGGTAGATAGAGGAGTTCGTCCCCCGCTTCCTTTGCTCCACTGGCACCAAAGATCAAGAATTCGAGATAGAAAGAAAGATTGGTTGGTGGGCTGTTAAGCCCCCTATCACAACAAGGCAGATAGCGGAAAGGTGAGCAGCTATAGCATCATTGTTCATCTTCCCCTCGCTACCGGATGAGTGAACTCTACCCGCCTATGCTGGATGGGATTGGATTCAATCCACCCTCAGGCCTTGGAGGAGCATATATTGAGATAGGATTGAATGCCATGCCCCGCCGGGTTGCATTGGGAGAATAGGTAGGCCTTGTTAGCGGCACAGCATCAAGAATGGATTCAATCAACGGATTCCCCTTGCCTCCTGGATCCACTGGGCGAGTGGAAGACATTGAGAAGGGCTTCACATCCCTTGCAGGGCTTTGAGGTTTTAAACTTGGTTGCGCTCCTCCGATTGACAGATTCCTGGAAAAAAAGAACGCCTTGAGGCGGAGGATTGTACCTGGAAATAGAAGCTCTGTCCCCCTCACACTATCTTTTGAATTAGGGGCTTTCGGGATTTATTGAAGTACTGGGCCTGGGCGCAGAAGGAATCGTCCCACCGCCTTGAGGTTTTGAATGAGGGGCCTTGGAACGGATCCACATCGTATTCATTACTGAATATCTATATGGTTCACCAACTTCCTCGTTTTGTTGCTCGGATTCGAGAGATGGCCTTTCAATACAATAGACCTTAGGGGAAGATAAGACAGACGCAACACTCATCCCGATGGATGCGAGACAGCAGATGATGTGGGAGGTGTGTTTCCCAAGGAAGAGAATACAAGAAAAAGAGATCAGCAACTTTTACTTAGCCCAAGCAATGCGCTCCGAAGGGCATTGCTTTCGGTGCAATCCATATCTCTTCCCTTGCTTTGCCTGCCTGCTGCTCTGCTCCCCCTTCGAATGAATTGGATCCGCTGCCCCTCCAATAGAAGCTGAAGATGCGGGCTTAGAGCCCCGCTTTCCCTA